CTGAAACATCACCCTCTAGGCCCACTGAAACATCACCCTCTAGGCCCACTGAAACATCACCCTCTAGGCCCACTGAAACATCACCCTCTAGGCCCACTGAAACATCACTCTCTAGGCCCACTGAAACATTACCCTCTAGACTGACATGAAACATCACTCTCTAGGCCCACTGAAACATCACTCTCTAGACCCACTGAAACATCACCCTCTAGACTGACATGAAACATCACCCTCTAGACTGACATGAAACAGCGCCCTCTATGCCCACTGAAACATCACCCTCTAGAATGGCATGAAACTGCGCCCTCTATGCCCACTGAAACATCACCCTCTAGAATGACATGAAACATCACCCTCTAGACCGACATGAAACATCACCCTCTAGACTGACATGAAACATCACCCTCTAGACCGACATGAAACATCACCCTCTAGACCCACCGAAACATCACCCTCTAGACTGACATGAAACAGCGCCCTCTATGCCCACTGAAACATCACCCTCTAGAATGGCATGAAACTGCGCCCTCTATGCCCACTGAAACATCACCCTCTAGAATGACATGAAACATCACCCTCTAGACTGACATGAAACATCACCCTCTAGACTGACATGAAACATCACCATCTAGACCGACATGAAACATCACCCTCTAGACTGACATGAAACAGCGCCCTCTATGCCCACTGAAACATCACCCTCTAGAATGGCATGAAACTGCGCCCTCTATGCCCACTGAAACATCACCCTCTAGAATGACATGAAACATCACCCTCTAGACCGACATGAAACATCACCCTCTAGACCGACATGAAACATCACCCTCTAGACTGACTGAAACATCACCCTCTAGAATGACATGAAACATCACCCTCTAGACCGACATGAAACATCACCCTCTAGACTGACATGAAACATCACCCTCTAGACTGACATGAAACATCACCCTCTAGACTGACATGAAACATCACCTTCTATGTCCACTAAAACATCACCCTCTAGACTGACACGAAACATCACCTTCTATGTCCACTGAAACATCACCCTCTAGACTGACATGAAACATCACCCTCTAGACTGACATGAAACATCACCCTCTAGACTGACACGAAACATCACCTTCTATGTCCACTGAAACATCACCCTCTAGACTGACATGAAACATCACCCTCTAGACTGACATGAAACATCACCCTCTAGACCGACATGAAACATCACCCTCTATGTCCACTGAAACATCACCCTCTAGACTGAAATGAAACATCCCCCTCTAGACTGACATGAAACATCACCCTCTAGACTGACATGAAACATCACCCTCTAGACTGACTGAAACATCACCCTCTAGAATGACATGAAACATCACCCTCTAGACCGACATGAAACATCACCCTCTAGACTGACATGAAACATCACCCTCTAGACTGACATGAAACATCACCCTCTAGACTGACATGAAACATCACCTTCTATGTCCACTAAAACATCACCCTCTAGACTGACACGAAACATCACCTTCTATGTCCACTGAAACATCACCCTCTAGACTGACATGAAACATCACCCTCTAGACTGACATGAAACATCACCCTCTAGACTGACACGAAACATCACCTTCTATGTCCACTGAAACATCACCCTCTAGACTGACATGAAACATCACCCTCTAGACTGACATGAAACATCACCCTCTAGACCGACATGAAACATCACCCTCTATGTCCACTGAAACATCACCCTCTAGACTGAAATGAAACATCCCCCTCTAGACTGACATGAAACATCACCCTCTAGACTGACACGAAACATCACCCTCTAGGCCCACTGAAACATCACCCTCTAGGCCCACTGAAACATCACCCTCTAGGCCCACTGAAACATCACCCTCTAGGCCCACTGAAACATCACCCTCTAGACTGACATGAAACATCACCCTCTAGACCCACTGAAACATCACCCTCTAGGCCCACTGAAACATCACCCTCTAGGCCCACTGAAACATCACCCTCTAGGCCCACTGAAACATCACCCTCTTGGCCCACTGAAACATCACCCTCTAGGCCCACTGAAACATCACCCTCTAGGCCCACTGAAACATCACCCTCTAGGCCCACTGAAACATCACTCTCTAGGCCCACTGAAACATTACCCTCTAGACTGACATGAAACATCACTCTCTAGGCCCACTGAAACATCACCCTCTAGGCCCACTGAAACATCACCCTCTAGGCCCACTGAAACATCACCCTCTAGGCCCACTGAAACATCACCCTCTAGGCCCACTGAAACATCACCCTCTAGGCCCACTGAAACATCACCCTCTAGGCCCACTGAAACATCACCCTCTAGGCCCACTGAAACATCACCCTCTAGGCCCACTGAAACATCACCCTCTAGGCCCACTGAAACATCACCCTCTAGGCCCACTGAAACATCACCCTCTAGGCCCACTGAAACATCACCCTCTAGGCCCACTGAAACATCACCCTCTAGGCCCACTGAAACATCACCCTCTAGGCCCACTGAAACATCACCCTCTAGGCCCACTGAAACATCACCCTCTAGGCCCACTGAAACATCACTCTCTAGGCCCACTGAAACATTACCCTCTAGACTGACATGAAACATCACTCTCTAGGCCCACTGAAACATCACTCTCTAGACCCACTGAAACATCACCCTCTAGACTGACATGAAACATCACCCTCTAGACTGACATGAAACAGCGCCCTCTATGCCCACTGAAACATCACCCTCTAGAATGGCATGAAACTGCGCCCTCTATGCCCACTGAAACATCACCCTCTAGAATGACATGAAACATCACCCTCTAGACCGACATGAAACATCACCCTCTAGACTGACATGAAACATCACCCTCTAGACCGACATGAAACATCACCCTCTAGACCCACCGAAACATCACCCTCTAGACTGACATGAAACAGCGCCCTCTATGCCCACTGAAACATCACCCTCTAGAATGGCATGAAACTGCGCCCTCTATGCCCACTGAAACATCACCCTCTAGAATGACATGAAACATCACCCTCTAGACTGACATGAAACATCACCCTCTAGACTGACATGAAACATCACCATCTAGACCGACATGAAACATCACCCTCTAGACTGACATGAAACAGCGCCCTCTATGCCCACTGAAACATCACCCTCTAGAATGGCATGAAACTGCGCCCTCTATGCCCACTGAAACATCACCCTCTAGAATGACATGAAACATCACCCTCTAGACCGACATGAAACATCACCCTCTAGACCGACATGAAACATCACCCTCTAGACTGACTGAAACATCACCCTCTAGAATGACATGAAACATCACCCTCTAGACCGACATGAAACATCACCCTCTAGACTGACATGAAACATCACCCTCTAGACTGACATGAAACATCACCCTCTAGACTGACATGAAACATCACCTTCTATGTCCACTAAAACATCACCCTCTAGACTGACACGAAACATCACCTTCTATGTCCACTGAAACATCACCCTCTAGACTGACATGAAACATCACCCTCTAGACTGACATGAAACATCACCCTCTAGACTGACACGAAACATCACCTTCTATGTCCACTGAAACATCACCCTCTAGACTGACATGAAACATCACCCTCTAGACTGACATGAAACATCACCCTCTAGACCGACATGAAACATCACCCTCTATGTCCACTGAAACATCACCCTCTAGACTGAAATGAAACATCCCCCTCTAGACTGACATGAAACATCACCCTCTAGACTGACATGAAACATCACCCTCTAGACTGACTGAAACATCACCCTCTAGAATGACATGAAACATCACCCTCTAGACCGACATGAAACATCACCCTCTAGACTGACATGAAACATCACCCTCTAGACTGACATGAAACATCACCCTCTAGACTGACATGAAACATCACCTTCTATGTCCACTAAAACATCACCCTCTAGACTGACACGAAACATCACCTTCTATGTCCACTGAAACATCACCCTCTAGACTGACATGAAACATCACCCTCTAGACTGACATGAAACATCACCCTCTAGACTGACACGAAACATCACCTTCTATGTCCACTGAAACATCACCCTCTAGACTGACATGAAACATCACCCTCTAGACTGACATGAAACATCACCCTCTAGACCGACATGAAACATCACCCTCTATGTCCACTGAAACATCACCCTCTAGACTGAAATGAAACATCCCCCTCTAGACTGACATGAAACATCACCCTCTAGACTGACACGAAACATCACCTTCTATGTCCACTGAAACATCACCCTCTAGACTGACATGAAACATCACCCTCTAGACTGACATGAAACATCACCCTCTAGACTGACATGAAACATCACCCTCTAGACTGACATGAAACATCACCCTCTAGACTGGCATGAAACATCACCCTCTAGACTGACATGAAACATCACCCTCTAGACCCACTGAAACATCACCCTCTAGACTGATATGAAACATCACCCTCTAGACTGACATGAAACATCACCCTCTAGACTGACATGAAACATCACCCTCTAGACTGACATGAAACATCACCCTCTAGACTGGCATGAAACATCACCCTCTAGACTGACATGAAACAGCGCCCCCTACTGGCCTTGATACCACACGTGCACGCAACACGTCCACTCGCGGACTATACCCACGCCTTTGCTCTGATCTTTTTCTTGCAATCAAATTGACCTCACCTGTAGGTTCTCCACCTCTAATAAGTTCCAGAAGTTACCTGTGTAGACTACCGGTTCCCACCATCCCCACCCCTCAAGAATTTAAATTCGTTCCACGGGAAAACTGACACTAGTGATCTATCCCGCAGAGTTCATTCCCCCCTGCCTCACCGTGTCGGACGCTGAGTTACCGAGCGTGTGTAGTATTGTTTTTATCAGTCACGTGGTCTGGTGTTTATGAGACGGGCAGCAAAGTATGACCAATGCGCCTGATAGGCCTGTTTAAACGGCCGGTGTGTCTGGCGTGCAGGTGAAGACCGTCCCGCCTCGCCTGACCCAGTAAGACACCAGCAGACAACCGTTGCGTGTGTCAGCCGTGTTTTGTGTAGTCACCCTGTACGGAAGATTTCAACTTTTTAAATCAAGTGGGATTTTTTTTTTCATTGGATTAATTTTTTACGTTGACAACAAGTTGATAAGAGATTTGGCGTCGGTTTAATGTAAGTAGATCAAACGTAGTTAGTTAACGAAATTAATTAGGAGACATGTAAGAAAGAATTTAAACATCGCATTAGAATGGAAGTTTGTCGTAACTCGATCTAACGCTAAAAAAATCTGGCTGTGAATGTTACAGTCAATGAACGTCTGCAGGTCAGGGGTATCTGGTAGTGGGTAGTGCACACTTACCTGAGAGGTACAGGAACACAGGTGTGTTTACTGTCTCAACAAAACCCGGCTTATCATAATATGTCACATAGTGTGTGTCATGTCATGTGCTGTGTATTCACTCATCATATCAATTAATATCATCATATGAATAATTATAATTAAGTGCGTGTGAGTTTCTTACAAGTCTTCTTACATTATAATAATATAATAATTAATAATTATGTTTGGGCTTGAATAGTCGTCGATTTTGTTTATTTAAGGGCTTTACAATTAAGCCTACATGTATGGTATATAGTGTGTATAAGTAATGTTTATCTACTAGAATCTATATATAGCCTATTTGAATAGGTGTAATTAAAATACAATAGGCCTACTGTCTTACAAGCTATACTACACGTACAGGCCTAGATCTAGAAGCAGCGTGTATATTCTTTAATTGCTTACCTGCTGTATCTATTATATAAAGTTGGTAGGCCCTCAGGCTATAAAATTTAAGTGTTAGTGGTACATTATCTAAAAAAAAAAAGAACCTTTTGTTAAAGGGCAATTTTAATTAATTTCGGTTACAATTTATTTTGATTTGCTTATTTGTTGGAATGGAATTAAAATAATTAGAGCAACAGTTGTGCTGTAACTTTTGGACAGAAACATTACCGGTGACATTTTTAAACGGTGTGTGCTATGTGAACTTTATCTGCAATCTACTCAGTGATTTGCACACGGCGCTGTTGTTATTTATTCAAATTGGCCCGTACGGAACTGTCGCCTGCGGCCGTACACTGGACCTAACATGTTTGTAGCGGCACAAGTGAGATAACCAGCAACTAATCTCGCATCGTCGTGGATCAGACTACACTTGGTCTAGATAGTTACATCAAATTATGGGATTTTACGGTAGTGGTGCCTGCAGTGGCATACGACTGAAGTGATTCGCTAACACATTAGGCTAAATCTGCTGATACACTAGGCTAAATCTGCAGTACACTAGGCTAAATCTGCTGGTACACTAGGCTAAATCTGCTGGTACATTAGGCTAAATCTGCTGGTACATTAGGCTAAATCTGTTGGTACACTAGGCTAAATCTGCAGTACGCTAGGCTAAATCTGCTGATACATTAGGCTAAATTTAACCACGGAACAAACACAGCGTGTAGAGGATCTGTAGAGCGACACTTTCCGCCTGATTAACCGTAGACATATTGGTGTACTTGATACGCGTCAACGACCACTCGAGCTAGCGTCATTGCCCCAAGTGGCACGCTATGTTCCGTGGTCCGTGGTACTACATCTGTGTTGTGGTGCTACATCTGGTCTGTGCTGTGGTGCTACCTTTGTGGTATGACATGGGGCTGATTTTAATGATGCCATTACTGGGATCTCCCAGAGACAGACCAATCCACTCAATGACGGACCAATCCACTCAATGACGGACCAATCCACTCAATGACGGACCAATCCACTCAATGACGGACCAATCCACTCAATGACGGACCAATCCACTCAATGACGGACCAATCCACTCAATGACGGACCAATCCACTCAATGACGGACCAATCCACTCAATGACGGACCAATCCACTCAATGACGGACCAATCCACTCAATGACGGACCAATCCACTCAATGACGGACCAATCCACTCAATGACGGACCAATCCACTCAATGACGGACCAATCCACTCAATGACGGACCAATCCACTCAATGACGGACCAATCCACTCAATGACGGACCAATCCACTCAATGACGGACCAATCCACTCAGTCAATGACGGACCAATCCACTCAGTCAATGACGGACCAATCCACTCAATGACGGACCAATCCACTCAATGACGGACCAATCCACTCAGTCAATGACGGACCAATCCACTCAATGACGGACCAATCCACTCAATGACGGACCAATTCACTCATTGATAGACCAATCCACCAGTCAATGACGGAGAAATCCAGCCAGACCAATCCACTCATTGATAGACCAATCCACCACTCTACTCTGTTTGTGTAGATAATTTGAAGGGCCAGGTATCAAAGGCTTTCCCCTACGGTGGGTATCTTATCCTGTGACTCATCTATCCTGTTGTGTGTTGAGTGTCGCGACCTGCGTGTTAAGTGTCGCTACATGTGAACCCTGGTAACTACACCACATGGTTAGTGTTTTATCCGATGTGATCCGTGAATAACCACGACATACCTGTGGATGACCACGACATACCTGTGGATGAACACGACATACCTGTGGATGACCACGACATACCTGTGGATGCTTGTGGATGACCACGACATACCTGTGGATGACCACGACATACCTGTGGATGAACACGACATACCTGTGGATGACCACGACATACCTGTGGATGACCACGGCATACCTGTGGATGATCACGACATACCTGTGGATGACCACGACATACCTGTGGATGACCACGGCATATATGTGGATGACCACGGCATACATGTGGATGACCACGGCATACTTGTGGATGACCACGATATACCTGTGGATGACCTTAGACATTATACAAGATTGTTGCCATGGTTACCATGTTTTTAAAATTAGACCCATGTGATATCAAATGACCATACTCTAATATATAAAAGCCCAAGTGCGCACTTCTCTCTCTTTCTCTCTCTGTCCGTCACATATTTCTCAAGGCTATGAGATCAGTATGTTCAGCAATATATGGAGAACTTAATGATACCGACTTAAAAAAAAGAATATTTTGGATGTACTAAATGTATAAACTAAGTTTTATTTTAAGACGGAAAACTAAAATAAAGCCATATTGACGATTGAATCTAGAATGTAGAAACACATCTTTAATTATTCAGCCGGAGAAGTGTTTATGGTAGTGATAAGAACCCTCTAGAGAGCATATAAGTTACACAAAAACTTTCACTGGCAAAGTAAATGACGTCACATATAACATATAGAAAAATATAATTATGAAAAAGTGTTAATAAAAAGTAAATCTACGGAAAGAACACAACACTTATGTCGACTTCTTCAATTTTAGAAAATTAAGAAACGAACTGTTTCATTCACATTTGATTTAGATCAAGACGTACGCTATGACATTTATACTTTTCTGGGTCAAAATAAAAATTAGTTTAACAATACAAGAAATAACCAATGTCCTGACCCCCACCTGGCCATAACACCTTGTTTATACCTGACCAAGTAATTACCTGTTTGTATTTGATTACCTGGTCGTAGTGATGCTGACGTCACAGAGTTAATTGCCAGAGCTGGCCGTAATCAATAGAACTTTATGGCTTCATAAATGCGTCATCACATACGTCATTGTAGTTTCTTGATGGACATGGTGGGTTACCGCTGAATGTTATAGGCTCTGGGTTACTTTATAATGTTATAGGCATTGGGTTACCGCAGAATGTTATAGGCTCTGGGTTACTTTATAATGTTATAGGCATTGGTTACTGCAAAATGTTATAGACGTTGGGTTACCGCATAATTTTTTTTAGCCATTATTGGGCTTCTGCTGAACGGTATAAACATTGGGTTATTGCAGTAACTTATAAATAATATATGTGTGTAGAACATACTTCCCATTTAAAATCTGTATAACTGTTTAAAAATCTGATTAATTTCCGTCGGTCTTCCTGTTTTTAATCTTCTACTTGTGCTAATTTATTTTTAGCCGTGTCGGATATGGGCCCGATAGAAGTGTCGTCATCAATCCCAGATGACCTCCATTTGACCTTGTCCTGACGTGTGGCTGAAGTTTCCTTGAGGCCCAAGGACAAAGGCTGGAGCTGTTTATGGGAGTGTGCACCTTTTTCAAGCCAATCAGCAATTAGCGTTTCGTTAGAGCGGTGCTTATGTCCTCTGAGTCATTGCTGTCAATTTAAAAGTTATTTTTAGGCCTAACCTACAATCTATTGAATGTGTAGTTAGACTGATAGGTGATGATGCACATCCTCGACAGTGACGTTTTATATATATATATATATATATATATATATATATATATATATATATATATATATATATATATATATATATATATATATATATATATATATAAAATATGCATGAGCCCTATATATGCAGATGAAATCTCGGCCTAATTTATATCGGTAAACACTACCACAGACAGCCATATATTTAGTTTGGTGACAGTTTTGTCTACGAACATCGCTGGGTCATACAACATTGCTGGGTCATACAACATTACTGGGTCATACAACATTGCTGGGTCATACAACATTGCTGGGTCATACAACATTGCTGGGTCATACAACATTACTGGGTCATACAACATTGCTGGGTCATACAACATCACTGGGTCATACAACATTACTGGGTCATACAACATTGCTGGGTCATACAACATTGCTTGGTCATACAACATTGCTGGGTCATACAACATTACTGGGTCATACAACATTGCTGGGTCATACAACATTGCTGGGTCATACAACATTACTGGGTCATACAACATTAGTGGGTCATACAACACTGCTGGGTCATACATACAACATTGACATTGGTGTTGATTGGGTGTTGGGTTTTATGTAAGACTGTGTGTGTGAGTAGGGGGGGGGGTCTGAAGGCTGAAATAAAATCCGTGCCATTGTTTGACATCACTGCCAGTGACACACCAGTGACAGCAGCACACCGTCTGACGCACCAACCCCTGCCACCACCTAGCACCCTCCCCGTGTGCACCAACCCCTGCCACAGCGGGGTCTGCTATCACCCCCCCCCCCCTCCCCGTGTGATTGTGTTCCACATCCGTCGAGTTTAGCCTAGCCTAGTCGCGATGCAGGACCGATAACTCAGGTTTACTTACCGCCACCGCTGGGAGTATAAGGGAGCTAACCAAGAAATTATCACATCACTGTCGTACTTGTTGTTTGATCCCCGCTGTTAAAGTCAGGTAAATCAATCTGCTGTTTGAAATTAATTACCTCATCGATAACAATTTCAATCATGATGTGTTGAGGCCTACATTGATCCGTCCTCTCGATTACACAAAATCAATAATGGGGTTTTAAACTCACGTTTTTGTTTTGTTTACAGTTGTGTCTCGCGTGCATGACGTCAGGGACCCAGGATTAGCAGGCTGGCGCCATGAGACCAGACCAGGATCGAATCTGTTCCAGCCGATGAGACCGCAGCATGAAGCGAGTTCAGGCGCTCGTCACAGGCAAGAAGAAACAATGCACCAAGTTGCCCACCCCCGCCCAGAAGGGGGCCAAAACCCCACCCTCCCCGGGGCCGCCTGCTCCTGGAATGTCAAAGACGAATTCTAGCAGCGACCGTCGAGAGAACCCGCCATCTTCTGCCGGTGCCATTAGTCCAACGGCCAAGGCCGGTACCAAGATTCCAGGTAACTGTTTGATTTACCTGGGTCATCTCCCTTACCTCTAGATAGCTCAGACCGTAGCATTAAAACATGTACGTCTTAGATGGTGGATACATATGTTTAAAATATTATTGCAGATTATGCAAATAAAAGCAATACATCTTTAGTCTTATACATAGAGGCATTTGTGTCTCTAAAAAGCTTCCTATCACTTCCCACAACACATAAGTTGATGTTATATGTGTGAATGACGACACTGTCATATTAGTTTCATGACACTATGTTTAGTCTAATAAACCGACTGATAGATCCTTGGACGTGGGTCCTCTGGGTCAAACGATTTTTACATGGGTCAAACGACAGTTACATGGGTCATCAATATCTCACTGTTGACGCTATTATTGTCTCTTCCATAAGTGGTGACCATATTTGAGTGGTATCTTATATTTGAATGGTGACCAGACATTTAAGTGGTGACCATATTTGAGTGGTGATCTAATATTTGAATGGTGACCAGACATTTAAGTGGTGACCATAATTGAGTGGTGATCTAATATTTGAATGGTGACCAGACATTTAAGTGGTGACCATATTTGAGTGGTGATCTAATATTTGAATGGTGACCAGACATTTTAGCGATGACCAGTGACCAGATAATTGAATGTTCAGCAGACATTAGACCCGATATGAGTGGTGACCCAACGCGTGCCCCCCCCCCCCCCCCCGTCACTACGCGAAATATCGCAGGTATTTCTAACACCAGTTGAAGTTCAGTTTCTTTTATTTTACAACCAGTACACTACCTCGCCACTGTGCAGCTTTGAGAAAACATTTCACACAGACACAATAGATAAACAGTCCCTCCTATAACTAGGCCTAGCCTCAAACTTTCTGTGTTCACCGTACACACACCCCCCCCCCCCCCCCCCCCCCCGTGTACCCAACAACCTCCACACATGTTGTTCCCGCACCTCACAACTGTAACTTTGTTCCTGCAGTTGACGACAATGTTCCCTCTTGTCCCCGCCAACAATGTTCCCTTCTGCTCGCTGTTCCAGACACGATTCCTGTTCCTGTTTATCTTGCTAGCGGGGTCACGTGACAGAGAGACAACCATCTACCCTCCCCCCCCCCCCCCCCTCCCCACTCACACACACAAGCTTTTTCTTGTTGTAACATGGTCTCTACCTGGGGGTAGGATGTTGGTGGGGGGGGGTGTAGCATGGGTAGGTTGATGTGGCATGAAGATAACCATCTCCCCCCTCCTATTCCCAGACAAACTATTTCTGTGTTAACATCACCTTACTACTTGCAGACGGGGGTGCTTGTGGGAGGAGGGGAGAGGAGGGGGTGATGTATGCTCAACAAATGGTAGTATGATTACAGACATTTAATTGGCGACTGACTATGACGTAATTGATGAGGACGTGTATGGTTGATGCACCTCTCTCTTGCCAAACAATTAAGTGCTGCCTCCATAGGCACTAGAGAGAGGAACTTTCGCAGTCACAGGTACCAGGTTATGTTGGTGGTCGAGAGTCAGCAGGTTTCTGTAGAACAACCTCCAACCACTTTTCTTGTAGGACAACCTGCACCCAACCACTTGCAAATAGAACAACCTGTAACCAACCACTTGCAAATAGGACAACCTGCACCCAACAATCATGAAAATGTACACGTCAGAATGCACGTGTACTCACGCAGCAAACCCAGCACGTGGCTAGTGTGAGCGAATGATCCCACACAGATTAGCACGCGCATGTGAGTTTATCTTATGTAAATACACCACTCCCAGCTGTTCTGTAGGCCACAATGGTCTGAGCCATAGCCTTGAGCCATCAAATTGTGAGCCACCCCGATAAGAGTAGTCTTGATGTGGAAAATATACAAAAATGTTTAATTGGGAAACTCCTTTGTTAATTTTAACGAGGGATCTTAATTTTTCAACTTTAATGAGGAAACTCAATTATTTATTTTTATGTGGAAACTTAATTGTCAGCTTAATTGGAACACCCAATCGTTAATTTAAAATGGGGAACTCAATTGTCAACTTTAATAAACACACTGGAATTTTAGCCGACTCGTTTTAGACAACCAGGTTTTGCCAAAACAAATATAACAATTGACAAACAGACATACAAACCAACAAGCCAACCCACAATCCAAGTAGAAAAAAATATGTAAAAATAAACGTTATAAAATCAAGCTTTAAATGCACGAATAAAACTTCAGCTAAACTTGAAAAAGTATGTTCGACAAAATCTGTTGAAAAAATTTCTGGAGCGAACAACAGTGTGTGTTTTGCTAAAGAAATTTCTTGTTTGGATTTTCTTGTTTTTAATCCCTTACGAGTTTGTTATTGTAAGTTTTTTAAATTTATCTTTATTACCACTCATTTTATGCCAACGAAAACGAAAGTTAAATTATTGCTGAGCTGGTATCTCAACCGACATTTTGTACTAGACCATTCCACATTTGTTTCCTTCTTTTAAACACCCCCTCCCTCCCCACCAGATTACCTTTTGAATTGTTACTTTTTGTCTGACTGGCCAAGAAAACGGCAATGTTTACAGTAGCTCTATGGTTCAATAGCTGAACGGTTTCAGCAGCCATTAAGTCGTGACGTCACACTTGCAGCCATAACAATGGCGACTGGCGTCTGCAGCTTGTAACTGTGAGGGGGGGGGGGGGGGATTCACAGAGGTGACTTCCGCTTGTAAATGAGGTTCAAAGGTTAGAGCGTCAGCTACGTTATAGGTGGAATTTTAATTGGACTGAGTCAGCACTTATTCTCCGTGACAGACGCTGTGTATGACAGACGTAAACGACGCATACACGACGCTGTGTGACAGAAAATAACAGACATGCTACATGCTGTATGACACACTACATACTGTATGACAGACACACTACACAATGTATGACCAATATGCTAAATGCTGTATGACAGACATGCTACATGCTGTATGACAGACATGCTACATGCTGTATGACAGACATGCTACATGCTGTATGACAGACATGCTTCATGCTGTATGACAGACATGCTACATGCTGTATGACAGATATACTACATGCTGTATGACAGACATGCTACATGTACTCCATGCTGTATGACAGAAATACACCAATCAGCATGACTGACACAACAAGCCTGTAATAGATGATGCAATGAAGCCGTTACAATAAAGAATGGAGCGTGTTGAGGGGAGGGGGAAGTAATGTGGGGCCCGGGGGTGGGGAGCTAGAGAGGAAAGACAGGTCATACATTTGTCAGGCTCATGTTTCGCATGACAGCTGTCTCTTACGTTGAATTAGGCAATCTTCAAGGTCGTGGCTTAATGGCGTTTTTGTAGCCTTCACTTACAACCACATCCCACACACCACACCACATCACATCTCACAACCACTACCACCACATCCCTCAAATACAACATAGCCACATACCATAACCACAACCACATCCTATAACTACAACCACATCTCATAATTACAACCACATCCCATAACTACAACCACATCCCATAATTACAACCACATCCCATAACTACAACGACCACACCAGCCCCACCACCACACCCACCCCCACCACCACACCCACCCCACAAACTATGTAACGATCTTCCACTCATCTACCCCAGTAGTGACACTCACACGTGACATGACGTCTCCACACATCACACACATGTGACACTGACGTCATGCTATACCTGACACTGCAGTGACACATTGACGACACACAGCAGTGACACACTGACCTCACCCCATTATCTCACATCTTTATGCGAGGTCAATTTAAAACAGCACAGTTGTGAAAAGGTGAACACACTAAAACAGAAGTAGCACACCGCGTCATCCCGACACACCAGTTTCATTACGTCACCGGACACACTCTGCTACACATGACGTCACACGACACTACCCTACATCACTACACAGCACACCTCACCTGTTTAACCGTTACACAACCGGACGATCGATATTTATCGAACCACACACAATAGTCTGAGCAAAAACAGTACTGGTGTTTCCTTACCCCACCTCAGTCAACAATACACGGCTAACACAAGCCCATGGTTCCAATCAGCGCCGGCTTCAATGGGTTATCGGAATTGAATGGGTTATCGGAATTAGCCACGATGACGTAGATGTGCGCTGCACATATCGAGTTTTCTACTATCTGGTCGTCGTTCTTGTGTCGCCTGCCGCCTGCTCCTGCCGCCTGCTCCTGCCGTCTGCCCCGTCAGACGATGGTCGAGCACGGGTCAGAGCATGAAGAAGTTTCGCCTGTGTGAGCGCCATGGAGGCGTGTCCTCGTGTTTTAGACTACAGCTGTGTGGACGTAAGTTGGCAACGATTTTATTTCTTGGGGCAGGCGAGGTGGAGGGGATCGATGCTCGCGTGTTTAGGGGTCAGGTGCTTCAGTGCTGATCTGTGGGGGGTCAGGGGTCAGGTGCTGCAGTGCTGATCTGTTGGGGTCAGGTGCTTCAGTGCTGATCTGTGGGGGGTCAGGGGTCAGGTGCTTCAGTGCTGATCTGTGGGGGGTCAGGGGTCAGGTGCTGCAGTGCTGATCTGTGGGGGGTCAGGGGTCAGGTGCTTCAGTGCTGATCTGTGGGGGGTCAGGGGTCAGGTGCTGCAGTGCTGATCTGTGGGGGTCAGTGGCTTCAGTGCTGATCTGTTGGGGTCAGGTGCTGCAGTGCTGATCTGTGGGGGTCAGTGGCTTCAGTGCTGATCTATGGGGGTCAGTGGCTTCAGTGCTGATCTATGGGGGTCAGTGGCTTCAGTGCTGATCTGTTGGGGTCTGGTGCTTCAGTGCTGATCTGTGGGGGTCTGGTGCTTCAGTGCTGATCTGTGGGGGTCTGGTGCTTCAGTGCTGATCTGTGAGGGGTCAGGGGTCAGTGGCTTTAGTGCTGATCTCTCAGTGTGTGGGGGGTCTGGTATGGTGGCATTGCGGGGCTATATCTATCGTTAGTTTGGTCTAGTGGGTTAGGTCGTGTGTGGTTTGATCTTTAGGGCCTTTTTGA